GACACCCTCCCCCCCGCGCCCCCTGCCCCATCCTGAGACTACGAGAATGACCCTGGGCTCCTCAAAGAGGCACTTGTTTCCACCTGCGCCACGGACATCACCGCTTTGCAGGAGAGTTTCTCCACGGTGGCTTTCTGAGGGTGGAGGACCTCCAGCAGCGGTACCGAGTCTCTACTGTAGGCGGGCCATTGAGGCCGCCATAGACGTCGACCGCAGGTCCGACAAGAGTCGGTTGGTCTGTGGGTCCTTGCACTCTGAGCACCTGTGATACATCACATGATCCGTCGTTTTTCTGACCTTGACAGCTACTACTGCTAAAGCAACACTAAACTCAAGCCTAACTCCGCTAGCTTTCGTGAAAAGCATTGTTTCGCGAAATTCTGGAGGGCACTGAGGGCACTCACATGACGCCTCACCGCGGCGCTTGGTCAGAGCGGCACAACTGTACGGTGGCAGACCGCTTTGTGGCATGCAGCGAACACCACCAGCCTTCTGAACATGGCTCCACCCCTTCTGCTTTTCCATTATGCGGATGTCACATTTTGCCTGTACCCTTTCATTGCGCGTTTCCTTCTAGCGTGTCATAGTCCAAACATGTCCAAATGCGGCAGCATGCGCAAGCCTGTGGCTTCAAGCTGTTGCGGAAAGTGCTATAGGACGGTGTTTGATCCGGTAGCATCTCAAACTTGTTGCGAGGTAAGGCTGATCCCTAGAAGCTCATCCGTTGATGTACGTCTAGATGTGCGTCTCTACTATTTCTTCGCCAGGTTGTTGGTACGTATTTCGGTCAGCACATGTGTTTCTTCGAAGGTAGGCTTGAAAGCAGACTCACTCGACCAATCCGAACCACACTGCAAGCAACTGCATAACCATTCAACCACTTTGCATTGGGAGATCTCTGAAGCTCTGAGCTTCACTTAACCTGTCAGGAGGCCGGCCTGAAGAAGGACTGCATCGCCTCCGGGACAGAGCCACATAGGCCCATGAAGTCAAAACATAATCTCCTGAGTCATGTAAACACGAAAGTGAAATGGTATGAAATGGCTTGACGGTTAACTTTCGGCAGTCTCAATCATGACAATTGCGGGAAGAGGATCTGCTCCCCAGTAATGAGATCCGCCGCAGTCCTTAGGAAGGCTGAAGAAGCTGAATACCAAGAGATCTGCGTTTCTCCCAACCGATGATACCATGATCAGTTTTGTCAGGCTGCTGGCGGAGCCAAGGATAGTATGCTGCAGCGAGAGGTCCAGCGGCCAGGCCGAAGAGCAACTCAGACAGCTCATTCGAAAAAAACAAAGCGAGCAGCCCAACGGCCAAGGCCAAGATATTGCCTCCACAACGCGCAAGCCTCGCTCACGGGCCGCGATGATGATCTTGGCGGCTTTATACTCCAAAGGAAGGTGAATATGAGCAGTACACTTCCACTCAACTGAGCTTGCGGCATCTTCACCCCTGCGGCCTCTGAGCCCATGACGCCGCTCTCGTGCTGCTGCAAACTCAGCCTTCGTAAAGCGCTTTAGAAACATTCAAGCCATGCCAAGCCATGCCAAGCCCGCTAGGAGGCCCCTTGCCTCTCGGGAGTCGGTGTCGTTGGTCGCTCGGGTGGAGAGGCGACCTCAAGTCCAAGAAGCTTTTGCCTGAAACCTAGACATGGACCAGCTGAAGGAACTCGCAATTTCCGTCAGTGTGGATCCAAGCGGCTACTGGCGCGTGCCTGCGCTGCTATGATCGCGCAGCCTGCGGCCGCACAGCGCCATTGGCATGGCGGCTTTTCGGAGCATGGTTGTGCCATCAACACCTTTCAGACATGCAAGGGGGCCAATTTTTGCCATCTGATTGCAGATCCCTTGATGCCATGAGCGCCCCTCATGGCATGCCTTGCCAGATGGCACAGCCCGAATAGCCTGCCATGCTCGAAGTGGAGGTCCAGGAGGCGTTGACCTTCTCATAACAGACAAGCTTTAGATCGCCACAAGCCCCATCATCAGTATGCCAAGGCATGCCAAGGAACTTCTCTTGCCAGGTGGCATGCAGATGGTATTGCGCAGCATTCATCTGCATCTAGATGCTTCGACGAGTGGGGCAAAGTGACTGAGGTCTTTGGACTGCAGGTGATCTGCTGACTTAGACAGTGCCGCTAGGTGAGGAAGAGCCTGTGAGCCTCGCAGCTGTCTAGCAGGCAGGGGCTCAGGCCTCTTCGGCACTCTAAGAGACAGGCTTTGGCAAATCATGGGAGATGCGCCAATGCAAGCCCGGATTTTCTGTTACGACTTTGGTGGCTGGAATTGCATGCTGGATGGTTTTTCATCCGCCACAACGTGAAACTATAGCTGCCGGCCCCTTTACAGCCTGGTGAAGCACTAAAGTTGCAATGAGTTTGCAGGGGCTGCCTACATGCCAGCGTAGAAACTGGTCCACTTTGGACCACGTGCCGGCAAAACATTATCCATCGTGTCTGGGCTTGGGCTTGAAGGAAGCGCTCCACCAAATCATCCGGCTTGGAAATCTTCAATGACAGACATCAAACGTGTATGCACAAAGCAACTTCCCTCGTTCCCAAAGACCTGGTGGCACTGGTCGCAGCCTTGTCACCGCACAGGAAAATGGTGGCACCCTTGAGGGTGGCTGCTTTGCCCTGAGGTTTCCGAAGTGCATGTTATAGAGACATGTCATGGTCTGTGAGAACTTGCTAGGCCAAGCGCTTGATCGTCAGCTCTCGAGATTATTTGCGTCACCGTGCCTCACATCAGATGCCGGAGGACTAAGCGCTGCAAAAACAATTTGCAGCGTTGGCCTTCAAAAGCTTCTGCATTGCGGTCAAGGGCAATGTGCTTTGTTTAGGCTCTGGCGCAGCATGGGGTGCAGCATGTTGCTGCGATGCGCCCAAGCTCTGGCTGAGGCTGCCTGGCAAAGGAGGTTGGACAGTCCTTGCCTTGTTCAATTCAAATGTGAACAATTATCAGACATCTACTTCGATGAGCATGGGCTTGAGTTGGGCTGTTTCTGAAGTCCAGTCCTCCTTTGATTTTGTTCACATCGCACAAAGCTCCCACATGGCAATTGGACGCACAGAAGCAACAGCGGGCAACGCCTAAGCCAGAAGTCATCAGTCCTGGATGTTTGCAAGCTGCATCCACAGATCCACAGAAAGAGTACGACCAGTCCAAGTCCTGCAGAGCTGCCGCCGACGGTCGTGCTGGAGCCTCATGACACTGCTCAGACTAGAGGTCTCCAATCAGTCGTTGTGTTAGCCGTAGCTGTCTCAAGAAGGATGGCGCAAATCCTACAAAACACATTCAAACCTGCACGACGCAACCTGCCTTGCCCTTCCGGCGGCACCTGCGCAAGGCACAGCTGCGATAAGGCCGCTGTTGACATTTTTCGTGCAGGATGCTGAGTCCTGCCTTGTGGCCTGTCCGCTTGTGTTTGGGCAGTGGCTGTAGTCCTATGCAAGGTAGATTGCCGTCAAGCAAACTGGCTGAACAAGATCTCGAGTTTAGATCGCCAAGCGGGCTGAAACATTAGCACGCTTTGAAGCAACTGCGCCAGTCATCCAAGGACAAATGTCACAAAAACATCTGGAAGCGGCCTCCAGATCCGTCTATCGGCGGAAAAGTCAAATTGGTACCTGGCATTCCACGCTGCGCTCCTGTAAGCCATGCCTCATGTTACCCTGGATTCAAAGACTCCAAGGTGCAAAATGGCAATCCAGGAAAACAAGAAGATGGAGATGGTTGGGAGGAGTGCAGGACTATACGGCATGCTTCGGCCTGATGTGCCTCCACCTGCGCCTGCCGTGGAGGCGGCAAAGCCTTCAACAGCCAGCCCACCCAGGTGTTACAGTTGTCATGCAGTTTTTGCCCCTTTGAACTACTCAGTTGGAGCCTCCCGTGCTGCCAAAGCCACCTGAAAATCGAGCAAGGGTGCCAAAGCGCAAGATGCACCTCCAATAGCTACTTCAGGATCTGTCTCTCTTCCAGCCTGTGGAAGACATCTGTTGCACACCACGTCGACCTGAGTGGTGGGAGGTTTCATGTGGCTGAGGATTGCTATGGACAGACTTCACACATTGCAATGATAGATCAGCCTGAAACCTTGCCCCACGTGTGCGTCATGGTGGACAGATCTATACTAATATTGTTGAAGCCAAGATCATCAACTTGATGCAGTGCAAGGCTTTATCAGCCATGATGCTGTATCCTCGGTGCTTTTCATCCACGCGATGAATGAACTGCAAAAACTACGATATGCTACCATGGACGCAAAGCAAACTGAATTCCCTGTCGTGGACATCTGGGACAAGTGCTTCTGTGACTGTCAGCGACTCCACGCGTCCTAGCAGCCAGGACGCCATGGTCAACTAGAGCCATAGTCCAACGTGCATGCCCAGAGTATCCGGTATGCTGCCTAGAGCGATGGCTTGAAGCCAACATAGAGATTTCGAGCTTCATTTAGTGGAACTTCAAGACTCAGGCAATAGAAAGTATCCTGAAGAATTTCAGTTGCCGCTGTGCAAGTCATTCAGAGTCGTGATGCACAAGGCTCGATGTGGAATGGTCCATGGGCTTGGTGAGTGGGGGGGGCTTCCGTGACTCCCATATCTGCCAGCAAGTTTTGTGTGCGCAGAGCCCATGCCACAGGCACCTCACAGCTTACATATGAGCTATAGTCTAAA